AAGCAGGAGAGCTCCATATAGTGGTAATGAGGGCAGCCAGTTGGTTGGCCCTGACCCAAAGGCAGGGGCTTGACCCCAGCCCTTTCCTTAAGCACTCCTTAAGCTGTTGGCCTTGGGGCCCTGTTTGCAGTAGGAAGTCTGATGTCCTTCCTCTGTTGCATTTTTCCCCCCCTGCCCAGAAAAGGTGGAGGCCCCCACCTCCTCCCTCTGCCCCTGCCCCCATCCCAAACTTGCCCTACCTGAGACTTTGGACCGAGGATCTTGTTAAAATGCACATTTTGATTCAGCAAATCCAGGCTGGGGCCCCAGATCCTGCATTTTTAAACAGCTTGCACACCACGCTTTGAGTAGGAAGGTGCTAGAGTCCATTCTGTCTTCTATCCCGCCAGAGCACCCAGCCTGCCCCAGACTCAGAGCAGGGACTTTTCGTATTCCTTAGCCCACTCCTGGCTGCCAGGTGCCCTGCTTCACATCATTTGTCTCAGCTCAGGAGGCAGAGCCACTTGGAAGGCCAGCCCTTGGATCAAGGGTTCAGGCCTGTGCTGAGGCCTTACTTCCCTCCCTCATTTACCTCCCCAGGTCACTTCCCACTTCTGAACAGGTTTAGCAGGTCCTGAGCACAGGTCCCAGTATAAGTCAGTGCTCCTCTTCTCAGTCTCTCCAATGATCCAGTGGGGCTATTCTAGATGCTCTAGAGGGCCCTCAGTCTCCAGGATAGGTTGTCAGGAAAGTGTGGAGGTAGAGAGGACCTGTGACAGTAGGATTTTTACATAGAGAGGGTGAGGAGCAGTTATGAGCCAAAATTCTGGAATGCCTTTGTGGCCAAGCCTCTTTAATTGCTTTTGTGAGTTCACACACTGTCACCTCTACCCCACATGTGCCTTTGGAGTATTAGATGCTCCTGAACACCCAATATGTACCATACCCTGAGGATATGTCAGGGAGCCCTCATGGTCTTGCCTGGGGTCACAAGAGTAAGTGGAACCAAGATTTGAACTGGCGTCTGACTCCTACTGGACGAAGCCCCATGGTCCATTAGACCAGGTCGAGAGGACAGGACTGGTATGTCTGCCTTGAGTTATCTGTGTTCCTCCTAAAAGTCAAAGCAATTATCGACTTTCAGCTGATGAGAGTTATGTTCCTTTCTAAACTTTGCTGTGACCTTGTTGCTCTACAGATTTTGAAGAAATGCAAAGTCTTGTGTGTAAGCCCCTAAATGCCTCTCCCTCCCACTTTCAGCAGTAGGCCAGGGTGAAGGGTCATGAGAGCCTGAAGGACAAGATTGTGACTTAGTGCCCGAGGCCTTGCAGAATGGGTGCTGTGAGGAATTCTTTTTAATGTTTTTATTGATTTCAGAGAAAGGAAGGAAAGGGAGAAGGAGAGAGAGAAGCATTGATGAGAGAGAAACATGGATTGGCTGCTTCCTGCATGCCCCCTACTGGGGACCGAGCATGCAACCCAGGCATGTGCCCTGACCAGAATCGAACTGGCGACCTCCTGGTGCGTGGTCCGACACTCCACCAGTTGAGCCACACTGGCCGGAAGGTATGAAGGAATGTTTGACTAGCACACAGTAGGTACTCAGAGAAGATGTGTTGAGCAAAGGGTATGCAGTTGGAGCTCAGCAGACATAGGATTTGGTCCAGCTGCCAGAAGGAATGGAGTATTTAGGTTAGGAACCTCGCCCATGCTCTCCCCCAGTGCTGCCACTCTCGCAGTCACCTGGCTTTCTGGTCCCACTGCTTCTTAATCATTGAAATCCAGGCGTTATCCTGGGGGCACAGCCACAGAGACAATTAAATGAACACATCTTGCCCTAACTTCCAGGCTTGGCACGCGCTTGGTAGTGAACTTAATTGCAGCCCTCAGTGTCCCAGGCTGCCTGAAGCTTGGCGGCCAGCAGGTCCTTTGCGGAAGCAAGGGCTCTGGCCTGACTCCCCTCTGGGCCCCAAGCTTTGGGTACTGAGACAGAGCTGAAAGTTTAAACCCCTTTGAAGTGCTAGTGGTGGTGGTCTTGGTGGTGTTGGGTATGGGCAAGAAGCCTAAGCTCCTTGCAAAGGGTATCAGTCCTGGGGATGAAGGGAGGGTTTTGGGGTGCTCAAAGTACAGCTGGAGAAAAAACATTGCAAATTGGATGTTGAACCTTTGTCCTTGGCCTCGTAGACACAGATAGCAAAGGTTAAATATTTGTACTAGATCCAGATAAAGGATGACAGGAATTTGATGGGGCGGAGGGAAGGAACTGATATTATGGAGAGCTTCTCCCCATCCTCTTTGGCTACCTCATTTGGTCTCCAAAATGACCCATTGAGGGGACACCATTCACATTGGGTATGTAGAAAAACTGGGGCACAGAAAGGCATGTGAACAGCCCAGAATTTGTAGCTACTGGGTGGTAGGGCTAGGATTTTAACTCATGTCTGTGATTTTGTGGCCCATGTTCCTCTCAAATCTTGGAAGGTGCCTGTGGGAGGTGGGTTGGTGCTGGGGACTCTGAGGCTGGAGGGAAGGGGGACAGCAGGCTGATATCTCCTTCCTATTGCAGGTACTGGCTCCAGCATCCTCTCTGCCCTCCAGGACCTCTTCTCCATCACTTGGCTCAATAGGTCAAAAGTGGAAAAGCAGTTGCAGGTCATCTCGGTGCTACAATGGGTCCTGTCCTTCCTCGTGCTAGGTAAGCTGGGGCTCTGAGGTCGAGGGCAGGCAGGGGCTACCTTCCCAGCATAAGTTAGAACAGGAACTCTGGTTTTCAGGGTTGAGGGGTAAGAGCTCCCACTTACCACTTTTTGTGTCCCTGACCCAGCACTCTACCGTGAGATTCAGTGGGAGGTGGTGATATGGTTCCCATTTCACAGATGGGAAATCAAAGTCACAGAGAAGGTAAATAACTTGTCCAAAGTCACACAGATTTGAATTCAAGTCTCTAGGACCCCAAAGCTGGTATTTTTCACACTAGGTACCCTGCCCACCAACAGACATTTTCCAGTAGATGTGTTGGTTTGCCTTAGGGTACAGTGGTGCTGAGTTTGAGTTCCGACTCCAGCACAAACACGCTCCGTGCCCTTATATAGGTTCCTTGAACTGTATGAAAGTCAGTTTCCTCATTTTGAATGTGAGGAAAGTGCTGCCTAGTTCACATGGTTTTGTGGAGATTCAAGATAAGGAATGAAAACAGGTAGCACAGGGCCCGGTCACAGTGGGCCCTCACTCAGCCTCTGCTGAACACAGTCCCCGGCTGCTTCCTACAGCCCATCTAATGCTCCCTCCACTCTCTCAGTACCTCCCATATCAGTGCTTTGGTTGCTGCTTCTGCAGGTCCAGGTTGGTGCCCTCGCTCCCTGGGTTGCCATCCAGACCAGAGTCAGGACATCATGGATTGTGTGGGAGGAGGAAAGGGCCCATGCCTGGGCTGGCCCCTGCTCTCCCAGTGGCCTCTTCTCTTCCCCAGGCCCCCATGTCGCAGCATAATAAGTGGCTTTCCCAGCACACAGGCAGACAAACCTGCTGCAGAGCAGCATAGAGTACATTCCAGCGCCTGTGGGCGAGTTCCTCTGGGTGGCCCACTCTTCAGGACTGTCCAGTCTGATGGGATTACCAGGAGTTACCCTGTCAGTGCCAAGCAGAGGGTTCTGGGGCCTCTGAGACCACATCTCCAGGCAGCTCTGTGCAGCCCCTCCCTCCCTTTGCAGGGCAGAGTGATGGGACGGGTGCTATTTATTGAGCCCCTGCAGTGTACTAGGCACCTGCTGTGTCTTTCCTTGACTTCTCACTTCACAGGTGAGGAACTAGAAACTCACAGAGGTTCAGTGAGACTGTGAAGTGAGACTCTGAAACAGCTGATCTTCACCTTTAGGACCAAGAGTGGACTTTAGGGGGTCCATGAACCCCTAGCATTAAGTGCAAAGTTGTATGTGAGAGTTTGTGCACATTTCTGGGGTGGAAGACAATTGCCGTCCTCAGATTCTTACAGGGACATGTGGCCTCAAAAAGGGAAAGAAACACTTGTCTGCAGAATAGAGCAAATTAAAGTGGCTCCCTCAGGGCTCAAGCCCCATCTTGGCCTGCACGCGACTACTTATTTAGAATCTTAGAGTAGAGAGCACAGTGTTACACCTTTATTTTCGGATCGGAAGTAGGGGCCCAGTGGAGGCAAGGCCTTGCCCAGAATCACATGAGAAGGAAAGACCAAGGAAAGACCCCATGGACTCCAGTCTTCCAGACCCCTGCCTCCTCTGATGCACTGAGTCCCCGTTTGCACTAAGAAGCTGTCACTTTTCCTGTTGTAGTGGGTCACAGCTTGGCTGATGGGGAGCTGAGCCTCTGGTAGAAATCTAGCCCATGCAGCATAGGATAGGCACTGGTCCTGTGCTGTAGGTTAACAATCCATCAAACCCAACCACAGCCCAGAAACCAGCCCAGCTTCTTCCAATGCCCTCGTGTAGGTGGGAGCCAAGCCTGGATGGATGGGCAGGTTGGCCAAGCTGCTGCTAATTATTACCCTGAGCAGCCCAGCCTCTCCCTCCGGCTGCTACCCAAATCTGCTGGCAGAGGCTCTTCTGGTGCTACAAAGGCTGCTGTGGCCCCATCGGCCCCCCTCTGGAGCAGAGAGACACTTCATCATTTTTCTGCTGTAGACGCCTCTGGCATTCTGATAAAGGTTATAAACTTCTTTTGAGGCTTTTATTTTTATTTTTTAATTTTTAAAATATGTTTTTATTGATTTCAGAGGAAGGGAGAGGGAGAGAGAGATAGAAACATCAATGATGAGAGAGTCATTGATCTGCTGCCTCCTGCACGCCCCCTACTGAGGATTGAGCCCGCAACCTGGGCATGTGCCCCGACCAGGAATCAAACCGTGACCTGATTCTTAGATCCACCCTCAACTACTGAGCCATGCTGGCCAGGCCTCTCAATGCTTTTAAATGTATAATACAAATTACATTGGATTTCAAAGGAAGGCACAGATATAGAAAACCTTTCATGTAAAATATAATAATAACGCATTAAGAATTCAAATTAGACATATAGTAACCCATGTGCTTTTTATTATTACAGTAAATAAAATGAGCAGCAGGAGTAATCATTACTCTAATTCTTTATTTTTTTATATCTTTATTGATTTCAGAGAGAGGAAAGGAGAGGGAGAGAGAGAGATAGAACATCAATGATGAGTCATTGATCGGCTGCCTCCTGCACGCCCCCAACTGGGGATCGAGCCCGGAACCCGGGCATGTGCCCTGACCGGGAATCGAACCCCAATCGCCTGGATCCTAGGTCGACGCTCAACCGCTGAGCCACACCCGGCCAAGCTCTAATTCTTAAGTAGTGATGAGAATAAATGATTTTTCAAGATACCTGCACCTGCTATAAATGTAATGAAAATACCCTTGTTTTCTATTGGTGTCATTGTCTACAGTACAGCTAACACCACTGTGGTCTGTTACATTTGTAAATGAAGGAAATACTAAATTTCCATAAGAGATGGGTAAACACTAAGGACACTATGTCCTTTTTTTCCCATCCAAGTCCATGGATCTTTTGATTGGACACTTAGCTGTGTGTTAAGTCTTCTTCACACATCATCTCATGTAATCTTCCCAGCACCCTGTAGGGAGGTTGAGGGTCAGGGGTGGGCTGTGGCCAGTGAGCGGCAGGGCCAGGGCCTCATGGAAGAGCATGTTCGTGTTCTTCATGAGCCCTCCGCTGCCTCTCTGCCTGGCCTCCAGGGGGAGTTTCAAGCTTCACCATGAAGTGAGGGAAGGGAGGACTGTGCAGGTGGCCCTGAGCCTTCCACATGTGACGCCAGCAGGGCCTTGAAGTGGTTGTTTACTTTTCTTGGACCCCGCAGCACTGTTTCCTGTGCAGCCCCACAACCTATAAGGGTGGAGCAGGGAGCCCTTTATTCGGAAACTAGAATTAGGCTCTGAGAAAGCAAGGTCATTCGGTGGGTTTAGTTCATTTTTTTGCTCAGTAAACCTATCCTGTCTTGGTTGCTGGGGCTGGAGAGGTTAATCTGACCCAGTTCCAGCTCCCGAGGAGCTGAGAGGCTAAAGGGCTGTCTGCTGGGAGAGGCCAATGATGAGCTGCAAGAGAGGCACCATGGACACACAGGGATTGGGGGGGACTCCTCCAGCTGAGAAAGTCCTCAACTAGGGTGCAGACTCTAGACTCTCCATCTGTTCTATTTTCCTCCATCTGGATTGCCTTAGCACCAGGGTGAGGAAATTAGGTAGGGATTCCCACTTTCACAGAGAGCCCAGACCTGGGGTGGGCCTAGGGCGGGCCTGGGGCTCAGCCTCTCTAGTCCCTCTACCCCTCAGGAGAATTAGGGCTTTGATGACAGGTTTCGAGGCTGCTCAGCCCCTTGCCTGACCCTCACAGCCCTACCCAGGCCCACTAGAGTATCCGCCTGGCTTCTTTAGGGGCTTGAATACCTGCTGGCTCTTTCCTAGGCCTAAGAAAGGGGACCAGTGGCAAACTGCTCAACAATGTGAGTGACTCTACTCTGTAAGTGGCTTTAACTTGGACATAGCCATTCACCAAACTGCCTCAAGTGCTTCACGGTTTGCCTTTAACAGGGTTTCGTGGGCTGCAGATGCTTCCTAGAGACACATCTTCCCTGCCTGTGGTGTCATACTCCTAAGTGGGTCCTGAAAAACTGGACACCTGGCCACTCTGTGTTCACTGCCCCTCCTCAGATTGCTATACTGTTTTTAGCTACCTGGGGAGAGGCTAGCTCAAGAGTCTAGAACAGGACTGGACTGTGGATGACAAGGGACTGCCATTTTCCTGTCCTTATACTTGTGGAGAGTCTGAGTCTGGCCCTTCCCTCTCCCTTGGGAAACCAGAGGAGGCTTAGCATGGTGGGAAGAAGAGAGTATGGCATCCAGAGCCAGGTATCCCTAGCACACCCCTGACCAGCACAGCACCTAGCAGAGGGTGGGCATGCAGCAAGGGCAGCGGAGAGGGTACTGGACGGAGGCCCGCTTCTACCAAGCATGAGTACCTTCTGTGCCTGGTCCTGTGCTGAGTGCTAGGGGGGCCCCCTCGGATAGAGAATTCAGAGGTGAGAGATCCACGTTGGGGGGGTGGTGTGTGGCAGGTAGCAACATACTGGAGAACAGTCTTGAAGAGATGAGGTCTGAGCTTCTGAAGGCTGGGAAATTGGACAGATAGAAACCTGCTGAGGGCATCTGGGGTTGAGCCATGAGGTAAACCAGGCTTGGCATGGACCTTCCTTCCTCTCTGTGCCAGGCTATTCAGCCTGATGGCCAGCAGGCCCAGAACAAAGTGAACACAGGAAAGCTGGCCCCAGGCAGTCTTCTCAATATCCTGCTGGGGTTTCTGAGAGGTGAGACTGATGGGCTTTGGACTTTGGCCTGGGGCCTCCTGGCATTTCCTCATGTTGGAAGAGGCCAGCCCTCCTCCTGGGGCAGGAATCCTCCTCTCTCAGGTCTCTCTAGTGGCATTCTGGGGCTTCTGATTTGGGGTAAATTCCTAAAGCCTGATGCAGATTATGGTTTGAATCCTGGCTCTGCCACTATCTTGCTGGGTGACCTTGGGCAAGTTACCCCTCCTAGAGCCTCAGTGTTATCTCTAAATGGTGGCAAAGTCACCCTGCCTCACGCTTGAGACAGTGGCTCAGCCCATGTCCTAGGATATGGAGGCACTTGGTAGGTCCCTCCCCTTGTCCACAGTAACTGTACTGGGCACTGGGGTGGGGAGAACGTGGAAGAAGGGGACAAAAATAACAGCTCAAGGCACAACTTCACGAGACGCTGAAGTTTATCTCCCACACTATTGCCTAGGCCACATGGAGCCCCCGGGTCCCTCAACGCCAGGGCGGCCCGTCAGAGTCTAGGAGGCGAGGCTCGCCTCTCTGTGAGCCTGCTCCTCCCCAGGTTATACCCATGGCCTTGGTTGCGCCTAGCTTAGTCCCATAGTAAATGATTACTCAGTCGCTCAGCGAGCCTTGGCCCAGGGGAGACTGAGGCCCACCCAGGGGAGGACAGGGCCTGACCTGTGGCCATCTGCCTGCCCCCCAGGAGTGGCCTGCAGTGTCATCCTCATGTACACGTTCTGCACCGATTGCTGGCTCATCGCGGTGCTCTACTTCACCTGGCTGGTGTTCGACTGGAACACGCCCAAGAAAGGTAAGGGCATGGGTCTTCTTGCCCCACCCCCTCACCCCAGGGAACCTCCCTCTTACACAAGCTGAGGTTCCTCATTGTGGGCGTTGCCTCTTTTTACTTAGCACCTACTATGTAAAACACATTGGGCTAGGCCAGGAGTGGTTTGGGGGGTTAGTTAAAAGCGCCTCAAAGGGCACCATCCTGGTCTTCGTAGGAGCTCCCACTCAATCAAGGGTTTGCACAACATGAGGGAATGAACATGGCAAGGGGCCCAGTGGGAAGGGGGAGAAGGTGCTGCATAGGGGGATAGTCACCCATCTCAGGGTTTCACACTGACTCTGTCTTGTCTTCTTGCCCAAACATCACTCTCCCCCATTCCCACTCCTTCCCAACACTGTGTTTTGTTCTCTGGAAGGTGGCAGAAGGTCACAGTGGGTCCGAAATTGGGCTGTGTGGCGCTACTTTCGAGACTACTTTCCCATCCAGGTAAAGACTTGTGGGTATTATCTTGGGAGGGTGAGCATGGGTGGGGAATCTGAATTCAAGCCTTAACCTTCCCATTCAGAGTGAGCACGCAAGCTGAGTTGAACCACATGACGTTTCCCACTATGAGCATCTATTTATACTCTTCCCTAATTTATGCAGGATTTGACCAGTTTAAGATTCATATAATGCCATACCAGGTAAACAGAAAAAGCAAGACTTGGGAAGGGAAGTGCTAGTATTTCAACCATAATGTTCAACGAAGTTATGTTGTTTGAGCTTCAGCATTAGGTCTGAGCTTCCTGGCAACCAAGGCAAACGGGGAAACATGATAGTTGCTGGTTCTTGTTTTGGAAAAGGAAGAAGCTTACTAGTCCCTTGGGGAAACATTGTTTTAGCATTTGGATCTAAAATATGTTTCAGACACCAGGATTCTGAGTGATATAGGAGCAGGTATAATTGCAGGTGTTATGGCCATTGTTTGTCTGACTTTCAGTGAATATTAAAGGCATAAATTAAAATGTGAGGGGATTTATCAAGAGCATACTTAAGTAGTCCAAGTTTATCTGGCCTGAAGCAAGGATAGCACCAAACCAAGTATAACAATAGGTGTGAGGGTCTTTCTTTCCCTCTGAAGCTCTTATGGAAATATTGTTTCTCTCAGCCAGTCACAGGTGGGTCACTGGCAGTCACAGCCATGGGAATTAAGGCCCAGGAAATTTGATGTGCAGTGAAAGAAGAGTAAGATCTAGTTGCTGAAGTGCTTGGGGAAGGCTTCTGGGGGAGCTGCCCCTAGAACTCCATCCTAAAGAGAAGCAGCACTGAGGAGGCAGGGACAACGAGCGCATAGGCACCTGAGATTGAGAAGAAGCCTGTAGAGTGGAGAGGGAGGATCTCCATTTTTTGGGAGACTTCTAGGAGCCAGCACCTCTCCCCAAGGAGTCTCCTTTAACCCTCACAGCACCCTGTGAGAGGTACTAACTTTATCCCTTTTTTACAAAAGAGGAAACCGAAGGTCCAAGTAGCAGAGCTGACTGAGGCCAGTGAGGGGTGGAGCAAAGAATCCAGTTGCCACCTGGCCTCAAAGCTGGGCTCTTGCCACCGGAGCACACTGCCTCCCTATGCAGCAGAGCCCTGGGGAATAAGCTTGGGCAGCCACTCAGGCTTCCTGCAGCCTTGGAGCACAGAGGCAGAAAGAGCCCAGGCTGACCCTGGGTGAGGTACCGTCCCTTGCAGGGTTCAGTTTCCCCATATGAAGCAAGTTTAGACAAAGTTAGTCTCTGAGTTTCCTTCCTACTGCACCATTGGCTGCTCTGGGACCTCCACACTGGTCTCTGAACACCTGTATTCTCTTCTCTGGGGCCAACCTCTGGATCCTGACAAAATAAATGGTGGCATGGCCTGGCTTTGAGCTTCATCTCTGTTCCCCTGCCTGTGGTCTGCAAGCTAGTTTGGCAAGGCAGAGGCATCTTGGCCCTAGTGCATTCAGGTGACACTGGTGGATTATGGATTAGTCTGGCAGAATCCTGAAGGCTTTTCCTGCAGAGGAAAGACCTGTCTGGCCAGCTCCCTCAGCACCCGAGCCCTGGCACACCCTAGTTGCTGAGGTAACCCAGCATGAAGCAGTGGGATTTGAAGAGTGGTGGCAGCATTAGTATGAAAGTGTATGACACAGGGTAGTGTATATTTGCTAATGTGAGTCAGCAACTGAGACATCCTGGTATGCTGCCAGAGGTGGCTGGTTGACCCCCACGTTCCTCCACTGCACCCAGTATTGTGGGGCAGCCCTGGGGCCAGCTCCCTCTGCCCACCCCAGCCCGAAGCCACTTTTTCTAGAACCTTCAGGGTCAGGGTTCTCACTCTTCCCTTTTCCTGACCCCATCTCTCTCTGGCTGTGAGGAATTCAAGGCTGTTGTTGTTAGGAGAATGTTGCATCATAGGTCCCAACCCTCTCATTTTGGAGGTGAGGAAACAGTCCCAAAGAGGGGCAAGGATTGGTCCAGGTTGCACAGCAAGTCCATGCCAGTGTTAGTACTAGAATCTGGGCTTCAGGTTCTTTCCCACTAAATTCCTGCTGCTTATTTCTCTGGGAGAGATTCAATCCCAGATTTCCTATTGGATTGAGCCCCACTTCCTGGGTCTCCCTCTCTCTGCTTTGCTGTTGGAGACTTGGTTGAGTTCTTGCTCTGTCATTCCATTCACTGAGCATCATCTGTTGCTCCCCGTGGGTACTGGGCATGGGGACAGAGAAGTCAGCCCTGGTCCCTGCCCTCAGCTGAGCTCACTGTCTTGTGGATCCTGCTAGACTTTGTCACTTTCTGCCCATGGGACAATAGGCACTCTAGATCAAGCTCACTGAGCCTCATTAGTCTCATATGCAAAATGGATCTGCACATATGATAAAAAGTGGTAAATTATGATTAATTGTGAGGAACTGTGGACTCTGTTCTCTCTACTGGGGCCCTCACCTAAGGGGCCAGGCCCCAGTGTTCAGAGTAGGCTGCCCCTTGGGAAGCCTCCTTGAGGCCCATAGCCCCGTCAGCCCAGAAGAGGGTAACCTGATGACTATTAGAACCGGGACAGGCAGATGCCCTTCCCCACTCATCTTTGCCCTTCTTAAAGAGCCAAAACAAAGTCTAGTGTTCCTTATCACATTTTTGTTTCAAGAAATCAGCTGGGAGTTGGAACCACAGGGCATGTAGGAGCTGGCCCATGGGAGGCCCCGGGGCATGAGGACCAAAGCTACACAGGGCCTTAGGCAGGCCAGCTCATTAAGTCTCAACCCAGGCTTTGCTCTTGCCTGTGGGTAACCTTGGCCAAGCTCCTGCCCTTTGGGATCTCAGGCTCCGCCTCTGTGAGAAGTTTTGGTCTTGATGACCTGGCATCAGGGTTAATGCTCTGTGGAGTCGAGTGACCCTTCCGTCTCATGCCCTTTTCTCAGCCTCTTGCCAATGGCTGTGTAATGATCTTTAGCTGTACTTAGTACCCGCATCTCACCTCTCTCTTCTTGGTCGAGCTTTTTGCTCCGCCAGAGCAGCTTGGCTAGCCCAGAGAGAGTCCCTTCCCTCAACACAGGTGGGGCTCATGTGATAACAGCAGCCACAAGGACTGCTGGCCACCTGGGAGAGGAGTGGGCAGTGCCTGGCTCACGGCTCCCTGAGGTGTAGCAGGATTTTTTGGAGAGGAGACTACGAAAGACTCTCAGCTTAGAATCTTCTGTTTGTCCAGCTGCCTCATTTAATGGATGGGCCTACTGACGCCCAGAGAGGAGGGACTGCCCCAAGTTCACAAAGCGAGTCAGTATTGGGGCTAGTACAGGAAGCAAGGCTGTCTGCTTTAGGACCCAGGTTCTCACTCCTGCATTCCTCTGCCACTGCCCTGCTGTGTGAGCTCAGGCAAGTCTCTGCTCTTCTCTGGTTTTAAGGTTCCCTCTATATGGTGGCAGGGTGGCACAAGCCTATCTGAGCACCTTTCCTGCCCTGACAGGCAGGGCGTGAGGAATGACTTGCTAGGAATGTGTCCCAGGCTCACATAAGCCTGTAGGCCTGGCCTGGCCACCTTCTTGGACTGAGACTTTGTCCTGGGAAACAGTCATGGGACACAAGAACAGGCATGTCAACAGAGCCTTTATCAGCAGTGTTCTCTCTCCTCTCTCCAGGATGGACACTGTCCAGCCCTGAGGGGTGGAGAGTGTGGCCCAAAGAGGTCAAAGCTGTGTCAGATGCCTGCATTATCCTGGGTACCGCACCCAGGGCCATTGACCTGCACTGTGCTCCAAGGCACCTCATTTAACCAAACAGCCCACCAGGCAGAGGCTTGGGAGAGGGGAGGGATGATTTAAAGAGCCATCAGGTGACACATTCACAACCCAGGCCCCAGGAAAAGCACAGGTGGGCGGCTTCATTAGAGTTTGTCTCAAGAAAATAATCAGCCCAGCTGGTGTGGTTCAGTGGTTGAGCATCGACCCATGCACCAGGAAGTCACTGGGTAGGTGTTTCTATCTCCCTCCCTCTCTCTGCAATCAATAAACATATATTTTAAAAAAATAATCAGACATGTAGATAAAAATAAGGTCTTTATGGAAGCATTATTTCTGAGGGAAGCTTTGGAAACGCTTGAAAGGTCCATCAGCTGGGGTTTGATTATAGTTCCGTTACGTACAGCAGAGCTGTGAGAAGATGTGTTACTGAGGAATTTTGATAAGGAAAAATAGATGGGATATGATAATGCTTGGTAGGAAACTATACTAAAATGATATCAACCATATGACCTCAATTTTGTGGTTTCATTACAAAAAAGCATGTGTATATTTAAGTAGAAAAAGGACTCAGCACATCAGAGTGGTTTTGCTGGATGGAGGTATGATTTTCTTTCCTTTTAAAAAATTTTTTGTATTTTGAAAATTCTCTGATTATTCATTATTTTTCTAATCAGAAAAAAAGTGATGTTTTTTGAGCAAAATACCAGTACTCTCCACCCGTCTCAGCACACTCCCTCCATCATGTTCGTTGCATTGCTGGATAGGTGCCTCTTGTTGCTCAGCATTTAGGGACACCTTGCACAAGCCACCCCACCCTCTAACCCCAGCCCAGGGCAGGAGGCAGGCCCTGAGGAAGCCAATCATTCTTTAGAGCATCCCAGGACAACTTTGTTGATAGTCCCCAGGTCAGCTGCCCAGCTGCCCACCCCCCC